GACCGTCGCCACGGATTGTTTTTTTTTTCTCCTACAGGTGGCTTCCCGGGCTCCGTACTAATCAGCGCAGTGTCCATAATGAGTCCGCTAACTGACAGTGCGCTGTCCGGAGGCGGGGCATATTCTGGGCGAATGACCGAACAGAGTCTGACGGTACAGCGGAGCTGCCGACTCGAGGGTGGATCCGCCCCGGAGTCTGTTGCTGTCAGGGAATTATTAGTTAAAAGTCAAAATTATGACTTTAAAAGTGGAAATTATGACATAAAAAGTTATAATGATGAGAAAAATCGAAATCACTAAAATTTGACATACCAAGTCAAAATTAGGACATAAAAATTAATATTAGATAAAAGTCAAAATTATGACTTAAAAAAAAAAAAGAAGAAATACTGTTTAAAAAAAATACCGGAAACACTTTATTTTAAGTATTTTAAACACAACTGTAGCTGTATAACTTTACAACAGCAACACTGTCTTAACAAAAAAGCAAGACTTATTTGACATCAAAACAAAAATAAAAAAAATGCTGTCTAATCGCTCTCGCTGTACTTTGATGTCACACACAGAATGGTCTGTGCAGTGCTGCTTCAGTCAAACACCTATTGTGTTTTATTAGGAGACGCACAACAGTTCTTCTGTGGCTTTATAGATAATATTTTCACTTACACAATTTAGCAAAATCAGACAATATTGTATACCACAATGTTAATTTCTTATTACTGAATTGTAAATAAATATCACATTTGCAACTGGTCAGTGTTCAAAAAATGTTGGGAAATCACTTCATGTAGCCCTGCAAGAGTGATTACTGATAAACTGTCTGAAAAAAAAAGAAAGTCACATTTTAGAGAAGAAAAAAATCACCTACTGACTTTCAAAGCTGCTGCATAGTAACGACTTTCTACTTTGAGGATCTTGATAGAAATGTAGTGGAGTGAAAAGTACAATATTTGTCTTTCAAATGTAGTGAAGTTAAAGTCATAAGTTCCCAGAAAAAATAATACTCAAGTAAAGTACAGATACTCAAAAAGTGTACTTAAGTACAATACTCAAGTAAATGTACTTAGTTACTGTCCGCCTCTGACCATCTGTTACCCAACCCCTCCTGCTTTTGTAATGTGTACAGGTGTACCTTGCATCTGAACTAAAAACGCTTCAACCTAGATTGATAGCACTGCTTCAAAACGTCCTGCTCTGTCTGGTATTTTCATGACAGTGTCTGCTTTTTGAAGACGGCCACAAAATGAGGTGGGTTTGCTTGTCGAATTAAAGGTAGGATATGCAATATACAGTATATAGCACCATTATATTTAATTTTTGACGGTACTGAAACGAGGATGTGAGGGACAGATGTTAGTGCTTTCAATGGAAAAAAAAAACTTTGTAAGTAGACAAAAACACCATAAAACAAATGTGAAAGTTGTGAGAATTGCGTGATCCACCACATTATTACAGTGCGTGCAAAGACTTGTAAAAAATCACATTATCATTTTCATCCGCTTTAAAATCAATATGGCGTGCATCTAACCTGACTCGTCTACACTGGTTGAAAGTCTTTTCACATCCTGTTAGCAATCAATAATTAAAGTGCTCTTTCGTCCAATCATTGCATGGGGTCTGTATGCAACGATAAAAAGAAGCGCGCTGAGAAAAACTGCCATTGTATAGGTGTATTTAATTTTTTCCAACAATGTATCCAATATCAGGAATTTAATGCAGATTAACAGCTTGGAAGGGGAGTTGGTTATGGGCCGCATCACATCACTGTTTATTCTTCCCATTTTCTGACAACAGAAACAGAAAAATATATGAATGAAATTAGTTTTATTGATAATTTGTCTGTATTAAAATACAGTATTTGAGCACAGAGTAGGAGAGAACATTACAAACAAATGTAGAAGGCTGACGGGCAGAATGCAAATAAGACCAATGGCGTCATGAATATGCAAATTAGTGTATGACATTATGCAGTGACATTTAGCAAGTTTTTGAGCCACTTTCCATTGAAAGAAGTTGGCAACAGTTTTTTACACCTTTATTTATATAGCGCTTTTAACAATACAGATGGTGTCAAAGCAGCTTTACAGTATCAAATAGTGTGATAATAATGCAAAAGGACAATAGTAAAAACTCAATTTTCAGTTAAAGGCAGTTCATCATTGAATTCAGTGATGTCATCATCCAGCTCAGTTCAGTTTAAATAGTATCTGTGCAATCAAGTCAACGATATCGCTGGAAATTAAGTGTCCCCAAGCCAGAGGCGACAGCGGCAAGGAACCAAAACTCCGTCGGTGACAGAATGGAGAAAAAACCTTGGGAGAAACCAGGCTCAGTCGGTGAGAAGGGTCTGGCTGAAGCCTGGCGCTTGCACTCTCAGACTTGCACTCTCAGACACTTGCACTTCCGCTAGCGACGTCACTTGCAGTCTTTATTTTTTTTATTTTGTTCTATTTATTTATTATTTTTGTTTGAATCTCTCAACATTTTACAACAGTAGCCAGGTGGTGAAGACAAGACAAAAGAAACTAAATTACGAAGTCA